GGTAGGGGACGGGCCTGCCCCTCGCGGGGGAACACGCTTTGAGAAACAGCGCTCCAGTCTTTCCATCCGCGTTTCTCCGGGGTCCCCCTGTCTCCTGGCGTGGACCGCTTTCCTCCCAAATGGAGGGAGGCCGCTCCTCTCCCGCCTCCCACCAGTCCATCCTCCCTTGTTTTAGAAACGCTAGTCTCATGGACATCCCCTTCCCTAAGCAGCCGTTCCCGCGGCATCTGGCCCGGGAGCTCTCCTCGCCGTACCAGGCGGGGGTGTGACGAGGTCGGGAAGGCTTCCCGGAGGAGAGAGCCCTGAAGGGAAGGTGGGTGCTGGTGGTCAGGAGGGACCCAGGCTTGAGGAATCAGGTTGGAGCAAAGAGGAGGCCAAGGTGACTGAATTCAGGGGAGGAGGGGCGAGGAAGAGCGGCTGGTGGGGGTTGAACTTAGTATTCGGTGCAGTGGGAGCCGGGGGAGTGTGGAGCAGGGGCCTGGTGGGTAGGAGGTGACCGGTGCTGGTGGAGAGGGCGTTACAGGGATGGCCGTGGAGGGAAGGGCGCCAGTTAGGGGCCATCCCCAATCCGTACTTAGGTGCCCCGGGCGTGGGCTGGGCAGGGCAGGGCAGGGCAGTCTGCCAGTGGAGATGAAGGAAGCAGACGGGCGCTGTGAAGCTCCAGCTGGCGGACTTCCCTTTGAATCGGTGAGGGGCGAGGGGCAAGGAGGTTTGGGTGGACAGGCGACGAAGGAAGAGCCGGGCGTAGGGTTATGTCAGGTCAAGGTTGGATTCAAATGGTGCAGATCCCCGCGGGGCTGGGGAGCGGCTGGACTTGGATGGGAGATGGCCGGTGGCATTCCTGCTGTTAATGCATTTCTCGTCACCCTCAACCGCCTCGCTCCCCTGTGCCGCCAGCCCGACGGCCTGCCTCGTGCTTCCCAGCCTTGGCGTGGTTCCCTGATGGACTGTGGTTCCAGAAGGGCGGCCGCACCTGGCTGCGCCAGCACAGAGCCCAGTCGTGCCTGCCTGGAGGAGGTGCACCCCCCAACTCCACACCGTCCCCTCTGCCCACCCACCCTGGGGGGCCCTCTCCTGTGGATCCTGGTCACGGGGCAGCAGTAGACCAAGAACTCGCTCAAAGTACCACGGAGATAATGACCTGTAGACAGGGCTCCAGCAGCGGCAGGACTGAGGCCAGAGACCCAACACCAGAGGGCCGGCCTGGCTGTCGTGTGTGTGTGTGTGTGTGTGTGTGTGTGTGTGTGTGTGTGTGTGTGTATGTGTGTGTGTGTATTAGTTTCAGAGAAGTAGGGAAAGAGAGAAATAAAAACATCAATGATGAGAGAGAATCATTGATTGGCTGCCTCCTGCACACCCCCACGGGGGATGGAGTCTGCAACCCAGGCATGTGCCCTGACCAGGAATCCAGCTGTGACCTCCTGGCTCATAGGTCAATGCTCAACCCCTGAGCCCCGCTGGCCGGGCTCGGCCTGGCTGTACTGACCCTTCCAGTGCTGAGTCCTAAAGCAGGCGGCACTGGTCCCGCTTCCCACAGCAGGGCTGGGGGTCTGGCTTGGGCACAGCTGGGGTGGGGGCTGGGGCAGGGTCTTCCTGGCTCAGTTTCTTTCTCTTGGTCGGCGTCCTCAGGCTCTCCCCCCGGCCCCCATCTTCAGCTGAGGGGCTCAAGCCCCAGCCTTTTCCCCTTGGCCCCCAACCTGGGTCGGAGAGGTGCTGCTGGGTCACCGGTCGGCTCCTGCAGCAGGGACCTTGGTGGGGAGGGAAGGCCCCGCGGGCAGTGGCCTGTCCTGGGGGTCCACGCGCTGGGCAGGGGCTGCGGCCCACGGAGCAGCCCGCTCACAGGCCTCCCCGCCCCGCAGACCACTTCCACATGCAGTCCGAGTCTCTGATCGGCCCCCTGATGCAGAGCATCTCGCACCAGCACTGGAAGGTCCGAGTGGCCGTCATCGAGGCCACGGGCACGGTCATCCAGTTTGGCAACGCGAAGTCGGTGGACGACGTGCTCCCTCACTTTGCCCAGCGGCTGTTCGATGACGTCCCGCAGGTAACGGGAGGCCCCTCCTCCCAGGAGCCAGCGGGCCTGCAGGCTGGTGTGCGCTGGCGCTGGCTTCCTTTTCTTCAAGATGTTACACCAGACGCCTTGCCTCAGCCCAGGTGCCCGTTTCACTGCTTCCAGGAACTGGGAGCTGAACTGTCTGAATACATTTGTTATTCCTCAGCCCGAGCGTGTGAGGAGGACTGTGTCCTCTTAGGGGAGGAGGGAACCTCAGCTGTGTGCTTCTGTGTGCAGAGGCATCTCCCACGTGACCCCCTCTGAGGCAGACTTAGTGGCAAACCGGGCCTGGGAGGAGAAGGGGGGTCGGGGCTAACTCTTTTCTTTGGGCTTTAGGTCCCGTTGAGCGAAGGACAGACAGAGATCGGGATGCTGGCTTTCTTTGTTGGCAGAAGCCACCTCGGAGGGCGTGTTAACTCATAAAACATCCCAAGGGGCAGAGGAAGCCTGCAGCGGGCACGCTGTCTCCCCAGGGGAGGCACGTGGAGGGGACCCCGTGCTCCCAGTCACGGGAGGGGGAGGCTGCGGCCCCAGGCAGGAATCCTAGGGTAGGAGGCTCCCCTGCCGTCGGCTCTAATGCCCCTGGGTGGTGGCATGCCCCCCCCCCCCATGGGGGAAGGGTTAGCCCCGTGCGTGGAGCCCGGCGTCCCAGCCTCTCCTGGGTCTCGTGTCATGTCGGTGCTTTCCCTGCCCTGCGGTCTGGAGCTATGGGACGTGCTCAGGGTCACCCAGCTGGAGCGAGCCTCCGGCCAACCTGGTGGCACCAGGCTGCCTCCCACCCCAGGCGCACGGCGTTCTTCCCAGTTACTTTGCTTTGGTTTTTTGGTTTGTGTTTGTTGTTAGTCCTCACCTGAGGGTACTTTCCCATTGATTTTTAGGGAGAGTGAAAGAGAGAGGGAGAGACAGAGAGAAACATTGATGGGTTGCCTCCTGCACGCGCCCCTGACCAGGGTCTGGGCCAGGGAGGAGCCTGCAACCCAGGTATGTGCCCTTAACTGGAATCGAACCCGGGACCTTTGATCCACAGGCCAAAGCTCAGCCAAACTGGCTAGGGTTTTAGTTTTTTTAAACACCTCTATTAAGCTGTAATTCACATAACATACAATTTATTTAACGTGTTCAATGTTTTTGATATATTACATTATTTTTTTTTTAAATATATTTTTATTGATTTTTTACAGAGAGGAAGGGAGAGAGATAGAGAGTTAGAAACATCGATGAGAGAGAAACATCGATCAGCTGCCTCCTGCACACTCCCCACTGGGGATGTGCCCGCAACCCAGGTACATGCCCTTGACCAGAATCGAACCTGGGACCTTTCAGTCCGCAGGCCGACGCTCTATCCACTGAGCCAAACCGGTTTTGGCTATTACATTATTTTTAAATTTTTGGTAAAATATATGGAACGTGCCCTAGCCGGCGTGGCTCAGTGATTAGAGCGTTGGCTCGCGTATCAAAGGGTCTCAGGTTCACTTCCAGGTCAAGGGCACATACCTGGGTTGCAGGTTTGATCTCTGTCCCTGATCGGGGCCTGTGCAGGAGGCAACCAATCAATGTGTTTCTCTCACATCAATGTTTCTCTCTCTCTCTCTCTCTCTCTCTCTCTCTCTCTCTCTTTTTTTCCCTCCCTTCTTACCACCCTACCCCTTCCTTTCCTTTCTTCAAAAACCAATGGGAAAAAATCGAGTGAGGATTAGCCCATCACACACACACACACACACACACACACGGAAGGTAAAATCTGCCGTTTTAGGTTTTTTTGCTGCTGTTGTTAATCTTGGACCAAATTCCTGGTTGTGAACTCCATCCCAGGGGCCGGGCGGAGGCAGGGCTTCAGCCAAGCTACAGCTCTGCCCCTCCTGCTCCCCTCACTGGCGACGGGCTCTGCCCTCAGGGAACTAGACCTGGGCACCGGGTGTGTTTTGAGCTCCTTTCTTCCCTGTGGTGCGAAGGTAGGTAGAGGTGTGCCCATCACCGTTACAGACAGCCAGCAGCAGGACTGGGGGTGC